TGTTAAGTCAGTTGCCCAGTGAATCTTCCCCGTTGACTTTGCTTGACAGTAGATCCCAAGAGACACTGGGACACAGTAATCATCATAAATATCAACCAGTTACCAAGTATCTGAATTTTGATCACAAGACCATGGAGATGCTAAAAAGGCCATAGCTATGAAAAAGAGTCATAAGTCACTTTTTTTCAGTGCTGTTGTTATTTTGAACAATCACTAAACAAACTGTTGTAAGTTGATGATTACCTGTAGTTAATTTACTCTCTTAATATGAGTGAGACAACTCTGCACACCATGATCAAGGAATGGGGGAAGATACTTATGTAAACTGATGCTAAGAAAGATCAGTTCCATGTTATTGCATCCCCTGGTTGAGTCATAACTGCATTAGAAGCCTAGCAGAATCTGTTGACTTTTCTGAAGTTATGGGACAAATAGAGACTTTAAGCGAGAGAGGAAGCGAAAGGCATTCACCTCTCTTGAAATGACACAAGCACATAAAACAGATCCGTCTCCATGGCAGCTGTCAAAGGCCCTCTGCTTTGATAAATAGTTTGTTATGGTTTTAGGAGCGATAAGCCATGTAAAGAAATGTTTGTGGGGGTCTTGGTCTGTCTAGTTTTATCACTGCTGCTGGAGAGGCGCTGACATCATTGCATCTTTATTTCTGCAATTTCATTTGTCTGTGCAGGGAAGGGTCCATCAGGAAGAAGTTGTTGGCAAATTAATCCTGATTTCTTGAAAGAGTCTGAAACATTGCATCAGGAAAAATCAAACAAGAGGGAAGAAATAATGCTGTTTTCTCTCAGAGAAACTATACTGCTATAGTTAATGTGTTAGTTTACTGTAATTTTCATATGATGCTATTGCAAATAAATATATTTTAATCAGTAGTTAATGTGAAGCAAGTGGTATGCTTGGTAGCTTGGAATAGCCTTTTGAGGGTCCTTGTAGCAACTGCTATCTGTTTCCAGCTACATAACAGAATTCTGGCCACAAAAGTTCATTTGCCAAGGAAATCAACTGGTTTCTCGAATTTTGATCACCTTCTCTGCTGTTGGAAGAATTAGTGTCATCCATGAGTTGAAATAGTTCCTAAAACACCAATAAAGGAAAATATTTGTGGCTCAGGGTTGAAATAAGGCCTCCTTGGTGATCTCTGAGCTTGATTGTTTTCTTGCCAGCATTTCATTACCCAAACTAAGTAACCAGCACTGATGACGTTAACTAGTTTGGGTAATGAAACATGTGCCAAAAAACAACCAGGTTGAGACAACACCAGGGACCCCTCAGATCCTAAAATCTCATAGAGTTTGAGAGTCTCATCCTGAGACTGAAATTTTATGTAAAAAAATAAAATAAAATTCTTCTTTGAGGAATAAGATTTGGTGATGATGTGAGATTTTATTTTAATATTTTTTAGGAGGTTGCTCTCCCCAGCATCTGCAGCAAAGCATTCTGTGACCCAATCTCTGGCAGCTCTCATCAGTAATTTGACTCCACTGATAAATCTGGTTAGGAGGTCTTTAGACCACCTACTCTATGATGCGAAAATAGTTTTCATTATCCATTATGTGGCTTTCCAAATAATTTTTGCATTATGAACCTTTTACCTGGCTTTAAATTCCAGAAAGGGAAGTTCATGTATATTATGCACATTTTACCAGCAGCCTTTTTGTTTGTCTCTAAAATTCATTACAGTGAAATGTGTTACACTTGGCAAAGTTTCTTTCACAAACAGAGAAGTTGGCATGAAGATTAAATCTGTCACTGCTTTAGCCAAACTGTTGCTATGCAAGTATTTTAATTAAGGCAGATGCTGCTGAAATATAAACTCTTCTGAAGTGTGGTTTCCACGTTTCTATGACAAGATATCTCTATCTTGCATACGTCTTTTGAGTCTAATATATTTTATTTTGTTTGGAAATTTATATTGTGTTCTCTCTTAGCAAAATTAGAAGCTGGGCTGTTGGTGAGGACATAGTCTTTTCCCTAACCATCCATATTTAAATAGCTCAGGGAACATTTCATGGGAACAAACTGTTTTAAAAATTCTTCCTGTTGGTATCGTGGTAAACACGTTTGTGTTCTTAGTCATTATTTCTCATAAACAGTATAAAGCATTTTTTCAGGGAGTTCTAATTTATTTCATAAATTCCTTTGTTTCTGTACAGACCTGTTTATAGCACAAAGTTGCTTGGATGAATTTTGTTCATGTTTGAAAACACACTACTAAAAAACAAGGTTCTCACAAGCCCAGGTTCACCATGTCGTGTATGCTGGAAACCAGAGCATGAGTTAGACATGAAGAAGCATTACCATAAATTATTTTTCTATAACAAAACCCTCTTCCTCCAAGGTGCTTTTTCAAAAGGCAGCTGGACTATGTTTTTTTTTCCTTGAGGATGAAGAAGATGTTTCACTTTTCATCCAAGAAACTTCCATCAGTTCTGGCTGAATGGGAAAAGGAGGACAGATGGAAGGATAAATTCTAACAGGATTTTGGGGTGTGTGTGGGGGGAGATTATATATTTTTTGCAGTCATGTTAGCACTCCTTGAGAGCCATTGCCCCCAAGTGGCGTCAATGGCTCTCAGAGAGAGTACTAATGACCAGATAACTGCAAAGAAATATAACCCTTCTACCACCACTCTCCAACATCCTGTCGGAACTAATCCTTCCATTCCTCCCCCAATCCCACCAGCCAGCCAGAACTGATGAAGCTTCCTGGATGAGAAATGAAAGGTCTTCTTCCTTAAGGGGAAAAAAACCTAGTTCAGTTGCTGTTTGAAAAAGCACTTTTGAGACAGCCATGACCTGGATGACTGAGAATCTCCATAGACATAAAAACCCCTTCCATTTCCCATGGAATAACAGGTGCCAAAACTGCTGTCATTACATAAGAGATTCTCTCTGAGGGGCTGATGAAATGCCTATGATGAAGACAACATTCTATGAATTTGAAGAGGTGGACTGTAGTTGAAAAATGTTTGTGAGACATACAGGTTAAAACACTGAGAGTTTCTATTCTTTCTACCACAAATTAAATTAACATAGCCATTTGGAAATTGGATTCAGCAAGACCTCCTTTAGCAACCACAGTTGACACCATAAAGTTGATGAAACATTTCTAAAGAAAACAAGCTCAGGTGGCGTCAAAAGATCCCACAGGTCAACCTTGAGCTACAAATATTTTATTCTATTGAACATTCAACTTCCCTTTGCTTTACAGGCCTGTAAATGCATGGATTGACTGCAAAATTATGTTTTCATCACTGTCATAACTGCGAATGGTCACAAAATCAGGACTACTTGCAGAAGCGTATACAGTATTTTAAAATAAACCAGATTTTAGCTTGACACTTTATTGGAGTTAAATGTTTTAATTTTTATTTACTTGTGAACATAAACTATTTTGGGAGAGCTTCGGCTTGTAAGATAGTTTAGAAATCATAATGATATCTGTTTGGAGAAAAGAATTGGTTTGATAACAGGATATTCAGAATGATATGTTTGGAGTGGTGCGGTGGCTTAGAGGTGGAGCTCTCGCCTCACAATCAGGAGGCTATGAGTTCGATCCTAGATAGAGGATATCCTAGATATTTCTCTCTCTGGGCACAATGAGAATATATCTGCTGAACAAAACTCCGCATTGGCGACAGGAAGGGCATCTGGCCATTAAAACACTCTGCTAGCCCCATTCAGTTGCCCAGACTCCACGCCGCAAGGGATCATGGGGTCGTTAAATGACGATTATGATATTCAGAATGCTAGGTTTCATCAGAACTAAGTATGTAGTGCCATACAGTTTCAGCATCCTGGTTATCTTTGTATATACATCAGTGGTGCTCTCTGAACTTGGTTATTTCCTTCCAGATATCGTCAGTGCTCTGTTTGCACTGAAGACATCTGCAAGGAAGTGTGGGGAGTGGGGTTTACTCTGTTTTATATACAGTAGCTTGACCTGCCAGTATTGGTGGGAGTGATGTTTTTTCTTTGATAGTCCCTTGATTAGGCTTTTATTTATCTGAGTTGGTAGTTCCTTGATTAATGTAATGTTTACTGCTTGTTTGTTTGTCTGGTGTTAATCTTCGAGCTAACCCTTGCTTATCTGTGTATTGATTGCCAGTTGAGGAGGTGTTCTGGTTATATGAACATTTTATTTCTGACATATCAAAATTCTGCAGAGAATTGTGTATTTCTTTAGGAAAGAGACCCCTAAGATTCCAGAAGTCTATAATCAATGGATCTTTTCAATCTTTTCAATTATGAGTTTTTGTAATGTTGAAATGTCAAGTATTATTTAATCTGCAGTTATAACTAGGGTCAGAGCAGGCGTTTCACAATCCTAAACATCCTGGTTTTAAAAAAGTTTTAACAATAAGTTATTCTGAAGGCCTCCCCTCCCCTTAGGAATATAATCTTGTTTTCTCCCTGTTTGAAACGTTTCAATGTGGAAGACTTTTAACTCACCCTAGACTTAATTTCTCTCCTTGGCTACAAAGTTGGTGGTCTTAAACAGATCATCAGAGTTAAGTTTCAGGTCTCCATTATACTGAAAATTACTAGCTGGTTTATTTATTTTTTACTGATTTTATTAAACATTTAGCTGCTAATCATTATACCTAAAAGCTTCCAAAAGTGCTTATTATAGGGTACTAAGAATGTATTTGAGAGGCATCTGCTCTAAGCTTTTTAATTATGATTTTTTTTATGAGCATCATTCTGTTAAGTGGGTCAAACCAGGACTGGGGAAATGTACATTCACGTCCCTTCTTGGCTCTGAATTGTGTTGGGTGACCCTGAGGCATTCAGTAATGTCTTTCAATTTAATTTCCATGATACTGGGACCACATTTCCTTTGAGTTCTTAGAATCACAGTAGGAGATACATATATTATTCAAGCAAACTCTTTCTAAGGCAAAGATGAATGTGATCCACCAACAACATTTTCTTATTACTTATTATGAAACTGGCTAAAGACATTATAATTCTTTCTTTCAGCTTCCATCTTGCTGCCTCTAAAGGATATAGTGAATGTCTCAGGCTTATGATTACACATGGCGCAGAAGTTACAATTCTGGATGGAACAGGTACTGAAATTCTCTGTTTAATGTGAAAAGATATGACATTTGTATGCATGCATGTGCATGGATGGGCGTAGTCCCCTGGCATTCTTTGCTTTCGTGGGACATAGCTATTGTAGAAGCAGAGGGAATGGCTTTGAGGAATAGAAGGAAGAATCAGTGCCAAGGCAACAGTTGGATGAAGGAAACAAAATGAAATTCAATGTAGAGAAAAGTAAAGTCCTAAACTTAGGCAAGAAAAACTAAAAGTACCCATACAGACTGGGTCAATAGCTGTGAGAGGGATCTTGGAGTCTTAGTGGACAACCAGCTAAATAGGAGCCAGCAGTGTGCAGCAGCAGCCAAAAAAGCTAATGCAATCCTAAGTTGCATTAACAGAGGGATACGATTGAGATCAAGTGAGGTATAATACCACTCTATAAAGCCTTAGTAAGACCACGCGAGAGTACTGCATCCAGGTTTGGTCACCACACTATAAAAAAGATGTTGAGGCTCTAGAAAGAGTGCAGAAAAGAGCAACCAGGATGATTAGGGGACTGGAAACTAAAACGTATGAAGAACGGTTACAGGAACTGGGCATGGCTAGTCTAGTGAAGAGAAGGACCAGGGGAGACATGATAGCGGTCATCCAATATTTGAGGGGCTGCCACAGAGAGGAGGAGGTCATCCTATTTTCTAAAGCACCTGAAGGCCAGACAAGGAATAATGGATGGAAACTGAACAAGGAGAGATTCAACCTGGAAATATGGAGAAATTTTCTGACAGTGGGAACAATCAACCAATGGAACAGAAGTTGCACTCGGAAGTTGTGGGAGCATCATCACTTGAGACTTTCAAGAAGAGATTGGACTGCCATTTGTCAGAAATAGTGTAAAGTCTCCTGCTTGGGCAGGGGGTTGGACTAGATGACCTATGAGGTCCCTTCCAACTCTGATTATCTATTATCTGTTAAACAGGCTGAACAGTTATGTATACAAACATCTCAGACAAGCTTCTCTGAGTTCACACAAAGAAGGAGAGAGAGGCACATTCTGACTTGCAAGATTTTAGTACCATAAATGTACAATAAAATGTACTATAAATTTACAATAAAAGTAGTATTAGACTTTGTTTTGTTCCTTAGGTTCCTTAGTCTGGTCTACCTTGAAGGGTGGACTTGTACCTTCTTTAGTCTAGTACCCCTCCAGGTGCATCCATTTCCAGCCAACCCATCCCATGTTACTTAAATACATCTGAATACTCCAAAGTTAAGCAAGTCTGTGGGTGTGGTTGAATTGACGCATGGATATTTTGGATATATAGGGATGTATGGAGATAAGTTTAGCATTCCCATATCTAGTGCTGCACAGGTATGTTAGACTAGAGTTCACATTGCAGTTAATTGAACACTTGAGTTGCAGCCAACACTTCTGGAGAATGCAAGAATGAGAAAGGCTGCATTGTGCTAAACCATTATTCTGTTTCCAGTAAATATTTGTATTCTGATTAATAGCAGCTTTCCAGTATCTTAAGTTAAGCTCCCCAGTTGACTTAACCAGAAATGGCATGAACTATACTTGGTTATTAAAGCATCCTGCTCATAAGTTCTACAACTGTATTCTGCTCTACCCCACAACCTTGTTTTGTTTGTTTGGTTTGGTTTGGGATGTACCATAATTTTTAGGGCTTCAGATCAATTTATCTCTCCTTGGTTGATTCTTGCAGTACTATTTGGTATGCCAGGAGGGGCTTGCTCCAAGTCCCATCTGCTAGGAAGCATATTTGGTAGGGCCTAGGAGGAGAACTATTGGTGCCATGATACCTGTCCATCTTAGATTGATCCCAACTTTAAAGATTAGATTGGTCCCAACTTTAAAGCCTCAATGACTTGGTTCTGTGCTTGAACCTGGGGCCCTGGATTTCTGATGGAGCCCATCATCTAGTTGCGTTGACTGTATGATGTTTCTGGTTATGTCGATTATATGATGTTTTCATAGTTTTTTCTTGGCAGGCTATATACTTTATGTGATTTTTTTATGTGGCTTTATTATTTTTAATATTGCGAGCCACCAAGAATCATGTGGTTGAGATGGATGGCCATATACATCTAATGAACAAACTAAATGCAGCTTATGATTACTATGACTGGAATCAACATATCTGTTAGCCAACCCACATTCTACAAATACTGAAATCTGAGGGCAGATTTTCTGCAGCCAAATTATAGCCTGCTCTTTGGTTTCACTCCTTCAGATTCTCTGAAGCCCATCTCTTTCTGTAAGATGTATATGTAGCATTTAAGCAAGGTTTAAAGTACAAATTGATGAAGTCAGATATTTTTTGTTCTCATTTAATGGTAATATGTACTTAAACTTGGAGGTAGGGAAGAGAATATTAGTGCAATTATTTGTTGATTATGTCTGGGTCTGCTTCCTCCTATAATTCTGTGAGTGAGATGGGTAGTTTAAAGTAAAGTGAAATGGATGAATGGATGGGGGGTAGATAGATAAATAGATAGGTAGATTATATTTCATCAGCATGCTTCAGATTTTTGAATCTAAAGATATACCCACTTAGTACTTCAAGCTAAGGTTTTGAATAATATTCATTTCATTTTTAGTGCTGTTTTCAGTAAGCCTGAAATAATTATGAAATATTTACATAGGGCACAATGCTTTGCATCTTGCGGCCAAGAATAACCATGTTGACTGCGTCAAGAGACTTCTTCAGGTGAGGTGCTTTATTCTACTCCCACCCCAACATGTCTGGTTTTCTGACTAAATGCCAGCCTACATTAGGCTTCTTTCTCTAAGTAGCCAATTAAATGGATTTAAACGTTTGCAACAGGATCCATCTAAATCACTGGATTATTTTAAATCCTGAGCTTGTGAGTAGGAGATCCTTAGATTATATGGTTGTTTGCTGCTTTTCTTTGCACCACAGTGTAATGGTGCTTCACTAAGATGCCTGCTCTACACTTTCTTCTTGCTTGTATGATCCAGTGGGTACAATTCACATAAAATGCCATATAATTGCCTGTACTGGACGTGGTAAATGTTGACTTTTTAACATCTGACAAGAATTATTTGATGTCAGGCTAGAAAATAAGAAGAGCTGCAATTGCCCAAATCAATTGTTTGATGTGGGAAGTGCTAGATTTGTTAGTTGAAAATAGTGGTTGTCCAGTTTCTTCACAACCACATCTGATAGCAAAGCTTTAAGCCATGAATCAAGCTCTTTATTTTTACAATGGGGTGGGAAAATCTTCTTGGCTGGATTCCAGCATAGACCCATGCAATTAGATGTTGATATCAGATTTCTATAGTTTTCCACTTTTCCCAAAGTGGTACATTACCAAATGAGATCCAATATATTGTTTCCTGTGAATGGAGTTCAGTTTTCTATCTAATGTTGTAATATCTACCCTCCTTTCTAATTCAGTAGACTAACCATAGTCTTTAGTCAGCATTTTTAGGTACGACTGATGTACAGGAGGTATAAAACCACCTACTAAGTTCAGAACTGACATTGTGCTCAGAAGTTAAGCAGGGATGAACTTGGTTAATACTCAGATAAGAAATCTTCAGGAAATTCCAGCACTGTAGTCCACAGTCCAATCTGAAAGTATGCTGGAAAAAAACCGTTACATTAGAAACTCTGCAGACTTCCTAAGAGAACCAAAATCTCTGTCAGCACCATTTGTCCATTTATTTTTCTTTTGCTGCAAATCTAAATGGATTTTTCAGTCAAAGATAGACCTTTTTCTTTTATTAAACAGGTATTAATATATTAATTGCTCACACCTGTTTTTGATATGTTATTTCTAAGTTTCAACCAGTCAAAAGCAAATTGCTTCACTTCTTGCAGTCGTGCAATGAAGCGGTGTTGGATGATCAAATTTGCAAAATGGATTTAATCCTTTTCTAAAAACATTCAGATTAATTTGTCCTGAACATCTAGGTAATTCTGGATAAATCTCAAAAATAGTTTGATATTCACACCAAAAACTTACAGTGTTGCAATCTAACTTTCAAAATCCTTCGTGTTCTTACTTTACTAAGTCTTCTTTTTTCTCATTCTATAGTCCAAATGTCCAGCAGAGAACACAGATAGCTCGGGCAAAACCGCTTTACATTATGCAGGTATTACATAATCATCTTGCTTCCACCCATTAACATAAATCTAGTATAATTTGTGCCTTCTGCTTAAAGTTCAGTAACAACTTTGACAAACAGGAAAGGTGAGACTGAATTGACTACAACGTGTCACTAATTATCTTAATTGCTTTCATTATATTCCCATAGTAAAGATGGGGTTGAATGAGGTTTGCTGAGTAAATTTCCAATGGAACCTGATAGAGGTAGTTAGGGGTGGGATTCTACTGGTTCAGACTGGTTTGAGCGAACCGGATGTTAAATTTACATCTGGTTCCCCAAACTGGTAGTTGAACAAACCAGCTGACCCTACCCTACCCCTCCCAGTTTTGGATGCAGGGTCTACACAAAGGCTCTGGGAGGGCGAAAAACTAGCCTCTGGAAGTCCAGAATCAGGCCTGTTTCTGGCTTCCGGAGGGCCTCCAGACCCCGGGAGAGGCCATTTTTGCCCTCCCAGAGGCCTGAGGGAAGCCTCCAGACTCTGGGGAAAGCAAAAAATGGCTGTTCCGGAAGTTCTGGTAGGCCACGCCCACCCAGCAACCGGTTCGCTGCCCGGTTGCTAGGATTTTTGAGTCCCACCCCTGGAGATAGTCCTCACTTACTGACCATTTGTGAAGGACTGAAATAACAGTGGTGATGAAAAGATAATGTTATTTATTAATTACATTTATTGGCCTTTGTGGTCCACTTACTTTTGCTGTGTCCTTCAATAACACGATTGCCACTATAGTTGCACTATCCTGGTAAAACATGAGGCTGCTACATTAATGTGCTATATGCTTCAGAACATCCTTTTGACTTCAAATCTGAAGCACTGCATAGCTCTAGCAACAAATTATGGTCAAGCCCAGGGGTCTCCAACCTTGGCAACTTTAAGCCTGGCGGACTTCAACTCCCAGAATTCCGTAGCCAGCTGGCTGGGGAATTCTGGGTGTTAAAGTCCACCAGGCTTAAAGTTGCCAAGGTCGGAGACCCCTGGGCTAGACCATGAAAATGTGATAAATATAGTCAACTGGTGCAGCTCCACAGTGAAGCAACCTTCTAAAAGGGCTTTTAAAAAGAACGAGATGACCCATTGGGTCATTGTTCCAGAGATACTTCTCTAACTAAATAGACAAGCAGAATGACAACAGATGGGCAAAATAGCAGTGGAAATGGGAGTGACTTACCAAAAATTTGCTGGCTTCCCCATTGAATTACTTTGCGAGAAGCTGACAGGGAGCATTGGAAATGATGGTCATGGGGATGTGACGGATAGCAGGAATGCAACGGCGCTGAAAAAACACAACTTCACCAAGTTTTAATTTTACAGGATTACAGGCCCCAGATTTTGGACACATTCTTTAGGTTAGCCTGCTTGAGGTGCATTGTTTCAAAAATCGCTGCCCTATGACACACTGTTTTGCTCAGTTAAAGGTTACAAACTGACAAAAAGGAGAGTTTTACGAGTATATACTGAAGATCTTCTAATTTTACAATTCTTTTCCCTCCCCTTAAGCTGCTTCTGGCTGCCTTCAAATAACTCAGCACCTGTGTGAACACAAGTGTCCAATTAACATCAAAGATGCGGTATGTAATTATGATTTCATTGGCAATTCTTGTATCCTTTTAAGCTTCTAATGTCTTTCAGTTCCTGAAATATTATTAAAACCTAGTCAGCAATTTTTGTTTGCTGCAAAAAATAATAGAATAAATAACGCCAAACAAAAAGGAGCCAAAGAGGCATGTCCAGTTGAAGATATCCCAACATAGATATTTATATCCACTCATTTCACTTTCAGAAATGCTGTTATTAACAAGAAAGCATGCAGTAAAAAAAAAAAGCCATCAGCTGTATAAAGTATCAGCTAGTTTTTACTTTGATATCTGGTTCTGTACCAGGATCAGAAATTCAGAATGCATTAACAAGAAATGTTCATCTACGTATTAAAAAGATAGCATTGCAATAGTTTCATAATGAGAGGCAAGTTTGATGCTGTATAACAACTGGCAGTCATGGGTCATATTTATTTCCATCTGATGACTATTGCCATTATACTCTATTTATGGTATTCTTATTCCATGTCCGAGCTATCTAACTTCATTAAACTTCATGGTTCACTTTTACATTTTCTTACTTGTCTTATGTAAAGTAATCCATTCAACTCCATTCAGAGAAAGAAGGTTGAAATTAGCTTTCAAGAAAAGCTGGACTGCCAGTTCTTACAACGATATCTTTATGCATAAAGAACAATAGTGACACTCTCACACAACTTTTCCTTTAGTACCGTGTTTCTCCAACAATACGGCCTCCACCAATAGGAAGGCCCAGCATGATTTCTAGGCATGAAGTGAAATTAAGCCCCACCCCCAAAATTTAGGCCTATTTAAACCATGCGTTTCCCCACCATTTCTCACATCGTTCGTTAGAACTACACGAGGTGAAGAGAAATGGGGGGGGGAGGGCGGGGGGATGGGGAGAAAACTTGCCTTTAGGAGTGCCCTGCAGGTAGCCGAGGCTAGAATACCCTGATAGCCGATAGAAGCTCCCTGAAGGCAGAGTCCCCAGCTGCTTCAGGGCGTGGCGTGGCTACCGTGTCCCCTCGCCTTTAGGGCAGTCTCTTTCGGGCAATGGAAGTTCCCCAAATGCAGTCACCAGCCACTTTGATTGGCCGGTAGAAGCGGCCTCGGGGCGAGCGCACACACACACTCTCCTCGCAGCGAGGCCGCTTCTATCGGCAGACGAAAGCTCCCTTGAAGGCAGAGTCCCCAGCCGCTTCAGGGTGTGGCGTAGCTACCGTGTCCCCTTGCCTTTAGGCAGTCTCTTTTGGGCGATGGAAGCTTCCCAAATGCAGTCACCAGCCACTTCGATCGGCCGGTAGAAGCGGCCTCAGGGCGAGCACACACACACACACACACACACACTCCCCTCTCCCCGAGGCCGCTTCTACTGGCCGATCGAAGTGGCTGGTGACTGCACTTGAGGAGCTTCCATCGCCCGAAAGAGACTGCCTAAAGGCGAGCGGACACGGGTAGCCACGCCACACCCTGAAGCGGCTGGGGACTCTGCCTTCAAGGGAGCTTTCGTCTGCCGATAGAAGCGGCCTCGCAGCGAGGTACGTGCGTATGGGCTGCCCTAGGTGAGGGAGGAAATTAAGTCACCCCCAAAAAGACGGCCTAGCCGTTTTTTCAGGGGTCAAAAAAAAGGCCCGGCCTTATTTTGTGAGAAACACGGTATTACCTTTCAATCTAGTAACTGGAAGGTGGTTTTGTTGAGTTTCAAGTTATATACACCAGTCCCATGAGCATGAGAGCAGCAGGAGCTGCTTGGAAGTTATGCTTAGGTTTAGTAGATAACAACACTTGGTCAACTTGTCTGGTTTGAAGATAAGGAGGAGAAAGACCAGGCTAAAAATTAGACTATGGAGTTACACTCTTCCCTCCCGCATGGTCTCCAAAAATAACAATAAATATACACAATATCTGAATTGACTGGATGTTTCCATCCATACTATAGGATGGGTAACAATTTTATAACAATGGATAGGATAGATTTTGTTACAAGGAAGATATGCAGGGGTGGGATTCAACCGGTATTACTACTGGTTCGGTCAGAGTATGTTGTGTACGCGTGTCAAACAATTGCAAAAAAAAACATCAGCCATGCCACTCAGACAGCTGACAAGCGCTGGGCGCAGGTGTACAGCATTTGAAAATCCTGCTTTTACAACCTCAGCTGTGCCGTGCAAAGCAGCTGAGGTTGAAAAAGCAGGAAATAAAGGACAGCCAAGAGCCTGGGCAGGCAGGTGGGCCAAACAGACGACCAAAAGGTCATTGCACCAAACCGGTTTGGTGTCTGCTGTTCTGCAGAACTACCAGTTCTATAGAACCGGGCTAAACTGGTAGCATCCCACCCCTGAAGATGTGTAACGTTTGGGTACAAAAGGTAACTGAGATTAGATTTTAAAGGTATGGAGCTGTATATCATGGACAAGATTTTTCATTTTGCTCTGGGTTTTTTATTGGAATGCTTCTTGTTGGTTTGTTTTTTAAAGTAATACATCTATTTTAGGGGTTAGGGTTAGGCTACAGTTGTGATATATACACAAAATGACAAAAAAAAACTATGCCATTTTTTTTCTGCAGTTAAGCGGCTTTCTAAAGATAGCAAATGAAGCGTTCAGGAATATATGTAATCCTAGGGCTGAAGGTTGCACATGGCATGTGGCAGCAGGGCCCACTTCTACACTAGACTTTTGATAACTGATGAAGTGTGTAGAGTTTCTACACAGCTAAATAAGGATACAGAAATAGCACTAGCACTTAGACTTATATACCGCTTTTCAGTGCTTTACAGTCCTCTCTAAGCGGTCTACACAGTCAGCATATTGCCCCCAACAATTTGGGTCCTCATTTTACCCACCTCAGAAGGATGGAAGGCTGAGTCAGCCTTGAGCCTGGTGAGACTTGAACTGCCAAATTGCAAGCAACTGTCAGTCAGCAGAAGTAGCCTTCAGTACTGCATTCTAACCACTGCACCACCATGGTTCATTATATCCCATTGTTTCCAGTTTCTGGATGTTTCCAACTTCCGTGGTACACATCTTGTTATAAATGTGTTGAATTCTTTTAGTTCAATTGAATAATTAATAGGGTATAATTTGTTTCAATATTTTCTCCAGGATGGAAATACGCCTTTCTTCCTGGCGGTACAAAATGGCCACCCTGAAGTATGCAAATACCTTCTAGACCATGGAGCTGATGTCAACTCCCGGGACAAAAATAGAAGGTAGGATTAAATGGCGTGTTCCCCATCTTCTTTAGCAGTAATTAGCACTCTGTCTCGTCTAGTTACTTCATCAGAATATTTTTTTTGTAGAGTAGGATTGAAATCAAAAGACAAATAGTATTTATCAGATTTACATGAGAATCAACCTTAAGAGAGATGAATTTGTATTTTTCCCAAATATTTGCCAATCTCCTTAATCAAGAAGGAAGGGGGATCTTACTCTTTTGCTGTGAGACAAATACTGATATTCCCTCAGTTCTCCCACTGAAGCTTCTCCTGAGGCTTCAATGTAATTAGACAACTTATATTTATATTTATTAAAGATACATGAAGTAGTACATCCTGTTTTATATAAGGCACAACTTCCCTAGTGAAATACGCAAGAAACATTTTATTGTAGCCTGTGTATGGAAAATGTTTCAGCTTGTAGCTATCCATGTCCTTTCTCTGTAGTTTCTATCATCAGAGGCAAAGTAGGCAAAGGTACGCAGTGCCAAATCTATAGACAATGGATAAAATGTTAATTGCTGATAATCATGGCATATACAGCATAATCCCCTGTTCTGGCATGCTTCTAGACAGAGGTCTCCAAACTTGGCAACTTTAAGAATTGTGGACTTCTACTCCCAGAATTCTCCAGCCAGGAGAATTCTGGGAGTTCAAGTCTTCAAGTTGCCAAGTTTGGGGAGCCCTATTCTAGACAGTAGCTATTGAGACATGTTAATAGAGCTCTGTTCTAGACAGTAGCTGTTGAGACATGTTGGTTTTCACTTGCTCTCCTCTGGATTTCTGAAAGACATCTCATTGGCCCTTGTGAGAAGAAAATGGTAGATAGACAGGACTTTGCCTGACTTTGTAGGCCAATGTCATAAAAATGTTGTGTGATATTACATATGATTGGTATGGGATCCTGTCCTTTAGAGATATCCAGCGGGGCACTGATGTGGGCATGAAACCTTTCCCTGTGTAGAGGTTTTGAACTACAGTTTTCATTAGCTGTACCCAGAAGGTTATAGGAGTTGTAGTCCAACAAGAGGGCTCCAAGTTGGAAAAGAATTACATGAGGAAGGCAATATTGGCACTGCACATTTTTCATCCAATCATTTTTTGGGGCAGCAAAATGGAAATGTTTTGTCATGTTCTCCTTCTGAAAAGGAGTTTGTTTGCTTATTTTGGTTGTCCAGTTTATCCTATAGCAGCCATGAGATTTCCTAATGATCTTTCATCAAGAAATACAGGAATATGATATCCTATCAGCCTATACATATCTTAGGCTGATCTGGGGCGGTATCACGTATCTTAAGTTACTCTGGGGCTGTATCACCTTGCCACAGGCTCAGGCTCCCCTTCATGGTTAGTCTTCTTAATTTCTGTAGAACTGCTTTGATGCTGGCCTGTGAAGCTGGAAACCTGAGCATTGCAGAAATCCTGATCCGAAAAGGGGCAGATATACATTTGGCAGATGCACTTGGACACAATGCCCTACATTACTCCACGCTTTCTGAAAACACAGGAATTCAGAGTCTCCTTCAATCCAAAATGGTTCAACAGGCTGGTATGTGCACGCTTCTTAAACGCTTCGTAAAATATACACAGACAACGCCATATAGGTAGTGTATGCAGTCACATTGTCCCACATTCATGTGATAGCCATTTATGAACTTCTGTTGGCTTCCCAATTGACCACTAGTCAAAGACCAGCGTTGAAGGTCACAAATGGCAAACCCTTGACCACAGGTTGTTGCTTGCAATGTTGTAATTGCAAGCCAGTTGCCAAGCACCCAAATTGTAATCTAATGACTGTGAAAACAATGGTTAGAACTATGAAGATTTTATGTCTTGGTGAACGTGCTTTGTTATGTACCTTCTGCCCCTCCCCTCTCTCTAAAACAGGGGTCCCCAAACTTGGCAACTTTAAGACTTGTGGACTTCAACTCCCAGAATTCTGGGAATTGAAGTCCACAAGTCTTAAAGTTGCCAAGTTTGAAGAACCCTGCTCTAAAAGATGACACTTTCAGCTTTTAATCTGTTTGCCTCTTCCTTCCCTCCACCCTTTTCTAATTCTTCTGACCCATTCCTCCTCCTCCTTGTTGGAGTGGGGTTCTTCTCCCTCTCCCTCAAAATAATTCAATGTTTTGAATATTTAATAGGCCAATTGAGGATGTCCCTTGTTAAGTTTTCTTTTTTGTACTGTGCTTTTAGAGTCTGTTTAAGCTGGGTAGCTCTGCATCTGCAGATAAATTTAAGCTCTTTTTTTAAAAGAAACAACCTTGTTAGTCTGTCTGAAGAAGAAAAGATGCTGACTCAGCCATCTTATGTATGTACATAAATCTTCTTTATGTACAGCAGAGTAATTAAGTGCCATGGAGTATGGTGTGTGTTTAGTGTTATATTTGGATTGCTTCTTCCTTCATACTTTCAGTCTGCATAATAAAATAGCGAAGGCTTGAAAATATAAGTAGGATTATTTATCTGCTGTAAATTAATGATATGATTCCAAGCAGGTGTCTATATGATATGGTTAAAAAATAGTCAAGGAGAAACAGTAAAATTGAAGTTCTGCCTGTTTTATATATGCCTTGCACCTCGGTAGCTCCCATCTTGACTTTTTTGAACATATTCTGTGGACTCCAACTCCAAACGTGTCCATTTGCACCTCAAGTTATACTGAAATCAGGGAGTTGTCTAAAATAATACTAAGCTTCGGATCTTGATTTATGTGTCTTAGTGATCTCAGTCAACTTAAATGCAGTCTTTTCTTTTCTGCAGATGCCAAGTCACCAATCAAGTCAAAGCAGGTAAAAAAGAAAGAAAAAGAGAGAGTGGCTTAATAAAGATAAACTTTACATTTAGCATAAGCAAATGCCTAAGAATTAAAATCGTGATGAAAAATTATTTTTAGTTTTATAGAGCTTTTGGAAATTTATCCAACGTGTGCGTTAAACAATTGTGTGAGTCTCCCATCTCCGATTCAAACTGGGACAGTTTCATTGGAACAGCTAAAAGAAGCAGTCTGTGCATTTAGCCATCTTTTGCAGCTGGAAGATTCTTATTGCAGATTTTCCACCCTGTGAAAGTTATGTAGAAGGCATCCTGTTGAAGAAGGCTGTTTTAACCCATTTGAACATTTTTGGACCTCCTTGTAATAAAGTTGGAAAAAACATGTTCTCATCTCCTTGCAGTCAATCTGGAGGAGGATGCAGAATGGGAGTTGTATACTTGTTCACATAACAAACTATAATCTACTTGGCTTAATGATGCTTAGGAACCCTTTCAATGTAACAAGCCAAATTCTGAAGCAGCTGTTCAAGCTTTATTGGCTTTCAGGGATGTGTTTGGCCAATTGTAAGAAGTTGCTGAAAATGGTCCTGTTTCCTTTGAAAGTCATGTACTTCTAAAGTACATGTGCTTCCAAAGTAGGGCTGGTATCAGTTACATCCAATTGGTCACAGTTATGAATTATTGGTTTGCTATGTTGAGTTCCTCCATTCCTATTTTGTGGATTCCAAATGTACAAAAGGTTTGGAAGTCAGGTAGGCAGAGATGGAAGAAGATTGTGGGTGATACTGAGGATTTGGCCTGCAGAATGTTCAGTTATATACTTTGCATACAGAGACAGAGAGAGAGAGAGAGATTTGGAGATAGAGGTAGATAGATAGATAGATAGA